TGGTTTCTGCTAGAATGGTATCTCTATACTGTACTACATGTAATCAAGCTTCAGACATTCCCATAACACCCTTCATGTAAAATATCAAAAGTTTATATATATCAGATACTGTGTGTTTGGACACTTATAGTCCAGTAGAATATTCCAATGCTGTGAGAAGCAAAATGTATAGTGTAGGATTAGAATGGGTAAAAACTTTGTGTTAAATTTTTTTTCCTTCTTTCAAGATAACTTTAATCTTAAGTTGTTTTACTTAATGGTACTTCCACACACAAATTAGATAATTTTTAACCTCATTAAGAAAAATTCTTTATTTTACGTGGATTGTGCCCGAGAGGAAAAAAATCTCAATCACTTGAAAGCCTCATCTCCTCCTCCTTACCCCTCCCCATGGAATCAAAACAAAGTGATTCAAAACAAAACAACCCCCCCAAACAAAGAGACAAACAATAAAATTATGTTGCAATAGTGTTTTAACTAGGTTTGCTGGGGGGAGGGAGGAATAAATATTGGGTTTGAATAGAAGTTGGGTGTTTGGAAGACTTATTTGCACTAAACAGTATCCTTAAAAGAGGGACCAGTATAGTTAGAGTCCCCAAATAAATTATTACTATTCCTTTTCAGACTAAAAATAAAACATTTTAAATATATTGATTATACCTTCATCAGAACGTAAGTATTCTATCTGGCCTGTAGGTTCCAAGAATCTCTATTTGGGCTTAACTTACCATAATTTCAAAACAAAGCAATGAAATGTGAAATTTTGCACATTAGGATGTTCATAGTGACCACATAAAGTAATAAAAAAAAAAATTCACAGACTCTTAGCCATATATTTCAACTTTTTTTCACAATTTAAACTAGTGAGAATTAAAAAAAAGCATTGGTTTCCTGTTAGGAATATTTTCTTTATTATTATTATCCCCTTTTAAAATCAGATGTGTTTGTGCCTTTTGGGGCTTTTTTAAGAATATTAACTTTCAGGGGGCATGCCATGAGTGAGAAAATAATCAGGTAAAAATTAAAATATATTCTCAATGAAAATCTCGATCATATCATGCCACTGACTAAGCCAAACTCTCCACTGATTTCAGGCTAGACTGTGGCTTAAAAATCTCTGGTATGATACAGGACTCTCATTGATATGTACAGGCTTTCAGTCATATCCATTGTTCCCTGACTTCTGATGCTTTTCTTTATCTGTATTGCTTACTTGTAATAAAGATTCAGAATTGCATTTAAAGTCTATGAATTTTTGGGGCATTTTGACTCTTATTCCTGCCCACCTCCATTGATACAAGATTTTTTTGCTGTTTTCTGAGTGACAAAAAGTTGAAAAGTTATGGCTAATTTTATTTCTATTTTAATAACCATACCTATATAATTGTAATTTTCATACATTAAAAAAATATTTATGCTTTCTTTTATATTTTAGTCAAGTACTTTCTTAAACAAAACAATAGCACCACTTTGGCATTGTTGGCCAAATCAGTAACAGGTAAAGCAAATATGTGTACGCTTTTCTGATCTTGTCATTTCCTGCACTTGATTATTAAATGGAGAGCCAAGAAGACACAGTGCTTGGCCTACAGTCCTCATTAATCAATTTTAACCATTGATACTGAGGGAACAACAAGCTCACGTGGCAACTGAACATAGCTACTAACTGTGTATGAAATTCACTTCTAGAAAGAAAGTCCACCACTAATTTTACCCTTTAACCTTACAAAAGGAATTGACACTGTAAACTACCTTGTCAAAAAGGGACCTATTTTGATGTCTCTGCAAGGACTGGATGCAATAACCCATAGTTTGATTTTCTTCTCTCGACTGAATGGCACAAATGAGCCTCATACAAGTCTATCACAGAAATATGTGTAGGTTTGTAAGTACATTTTGAGCAAAATAAAGAATTAATTCATTTTCTATTTAAACTCTTAATGATTAATTGCATTTACTATGGCCATGAGGCTCAAATTTTGCTACCTTGATGAAAGAGATGTATTAACTTCAGTGGGTTTAAATCTGCAGTGGTTTTTGAACTGACTGAAAACAATGAGGCTTAATTAACTTTTTTTTTCTTCTGCATTTCAGTGACATTCTATGTACTAACTGGAGTTTTAAGTCTACTCTAGAATGCAAAAATCTGTCATCTCTGTCATGTGGCTTAGATGATAGGGAAGGATGGGGAGTGGGCCTTTCTGTACCATTTAAGTGATTTATGAGAATCCATGGCATCCAGTGGCAGCCCTGTTCCTAAATATCTGGAGTGCTTTTGAAAATCCAGCTGAACCTTTCAATTTCTCTAATTAGAAGTTTTTCAAGTCAGACTGCTTTGTACTTTTGGGAGGGAGATGTTTTGGCTCATGCTTCAACTTCTTTAAGTAGAGGATTTATTAAGATTATTAAGCCAATGCGGCCCTTTATCTTTCACACTAACTGGTATATCATGTGCTCCTGGCCATATGACTGGATATTTCTTATACAAAATGCATTTCCCATCCATGCATTTCTCACCTCTGTGGGGCTGGAGCTACTTTCCATTTTGTGATACCATTTATTCACTAGTAAAGCAAAGTGTTGCCTTTGAAGTTTGTAGCTATTCATTATTTATTTTAGTTTCTTCTAAGAATTGTTCTAATTTGTTTAGACAGTTGTCAGGTTGTGATGTTAGATACTGCTGTGTCTGAGTGACATTTTCTAATTATAATTTCTCAAAAGGAGAAATATGGTGGCATGAATGTGTGCGAATCTCAAGATAAGACAAAAAATTTGAATTAATTCACAGGAATTGATGCAAAATGATGTATAGTTATTCAGTTGTGTTAACAGTGCATCAGTAAAAGAGTTATCTGCAAAGAAACTTGCCACCACAGCTATCTGCAAATTGCTTTTTACATTCACATCTTTCTTCTTTCCTCCCTTTAGAACTTCAGAGGATATAGGAGACAGAAAGGATCATGGGACATGAAATAGAAATATGTATTAAGTCTGTGACATCAAAATAATACTTATTCTTAGACTGTATTTCAGAATTCTTACAGCCATTAAAGTAAAAGTACTTCCCTCTCCATCCCCCCATCAAAAAAATGCTTATAGATGCTGTGGCAGGTATCAGAATTCCTAACTCTGTTTATTGAATTGGTGGTAAATAATTTAGGTTAGTTTTCACACCTGTTTCTCTTTACTTTCTTCCTTTTTCAACATAACTATCTCAGTCAGTGTCAGCTGTGACATATTCTTTTTATTCATTTACTGTTCTACTTTTACATTGCTATGGCAGCTTATGTGCATATAGACATCCATCTCACAGAAAGCGGAGGGTTTAAAGAGTTGCATAGGAATACATTGCACTTGTTAAAAATACAAACCACAAATTTTCTATGGGAATAAAAAGGAACTATAATAATTTCTTAGACTTTTAAGACCTACCTTGTTTCACAAGGAACTATTGAGGAGCTGTATATATGCAGTCTGCAGAGAACCTTTTCTTGTGTTTTAGTCAATACTTCAGTTATCTACTCCCCTGGATGTGGTAGAAAGGAAGGCAGATTTGAGCCTTTGAAAAGGGATCCTTCCTTTGTAGGTCTAATCTAACATCTCCCTAACTGCTCCCTTCAAACAGTATTGTCCAGGCTCCCTTTGGGCCTGACCAAGAGATACATTATCCCATGCCTGAGCTTACTCATGTAGGGAGGTGAGGGGAAGAAGTCGAGTGGAACAACTTTGGAGTTCTTGGACAGGGTGGAACAGTGCATTCCCCCCAGTCCCCCTCCCCCCACCCATCTAGTCTTCCCTTCTCTCGCAGAGAAGTTTATTGCTCACCTTGGTCACTGCTGGCTACCTTCACTGCATGACCAATCTGGCTCTCAGCTGATGTAAAAAAATGGAGCATAGGATACAGTGTTATTTAAGGTAGAACCAGTGCAGTGCCCATCAAAGTTATGTAACAGGGGATTGTAAGTAAGGATGTAAGGATTTTATGGTTAATCTCTTCTTGAGGACTCTTTCTACACTGTAATTTGGTGATTAGATCAGATTTTCTGATTTACAGAGAGATGCAGAAGCCCAATAAACGGTCAGTTAGGTCACATCTGATTGTGGAAAGAATTAAAATGGAGGGGAACTTGAGTACCTCTCTATTATGTTTGAATAGAATGATGATATTTCTGGAAGATTTAGGTACTGATGGACTACCTTTTGAGGTCATTTGAGAGCTGTTTTTCAAATTGTTTTCTCTGGGCCTAGACATCTATGACTTTGTGTTCCACATAACCATAGGTGAGAACACCACCATTGAAACATCTGAAAGGAAACAAGTATGTGAATATGCTTTTGGAGATGGGAAAGTTATTACCATCTTGAAATCTGAAGCCATTTCAGTTGATTTAAGGTGAATAGTTTTGAGACTATTTTGTTATTTAATCTTTGGCTTTGTCCTTCCACATTTGCTTTTACCTATTACCGTTTTGGCCAGACCCTTTCATGTAACAAACTATAAAATAGCACCGTTGTACTATAAAACAGAGATTTTTACATACTGTTTGATATATGTGTATTATTGATATGCTAAATTTTACATACTGCATTATATGGAGGAAGAAAGAAGTTACCTATACTGTTGCAAAATAATTACCTGGAAGAATCATTACTGGTTTGAGAGCCTATGTATGCTTTAACTGCTTTAAAAAAATCTTTTGTCTCACAAATTGCAATAAATTGCATGTTTGCAAGAGAAGGAAGAAAAAAACTGTCTTAAAACAAATGCATCTATAACCCATATTCTGTTGAAATGCCACAGATGGAATTAATGGATGTTTAAAACTGTATATGTTACCTTACTGCTGCTGTTACTGGGAATGTCAAACTGTGCAAATACGAAGGGGTAGACAAACAATGTTATCAGACACTGTAAAACAAACAGCCTGTTGCTTGTATAGAAGTGCAAATAAAAAAAACACCACTTAGACAAGGCTGATGAATGACTCCAGCAGCCAATGTTCATAGGTTAATTTAGTGCAATTGGATCCGTCAAAGGCCCATAAATTTGTAGGCATTTGAGGGGCACAGGACTTTAAGAGTTTTTGTGCAGGACATTTAAAAAAGGTTAACAAACAGTAATATATCAACCACAGAAATTTTAGCTCTGGGCTGGTTAAAATGTTCTGTTCTCTAAAGACTTAATATTGGAATGTTTAGTTGCATTGTTCACTGGGAGAATGCCCATTGGTTGAGATTGCATCAAGCTTTTTAAAACAAAGGTTTTTTTAAGTCTTCCAATGTTTAACAAATAATTTATTTACAGCAAAGTATCCTGCAGATGGCACATTCATTCTTCATTCTTGTGGATGGCATGTTCTTACATTCTGTAGTTTCTGTTTCCTGTGTTCCCTCTACTTGTATTCTTCAAATGCACTTCCTGGGGATTTAGAAAGAAAAAATTATTACAGATAGATTTCAATACTTTGTATGACCACTAAACTTATAATAGTGGGAAAACAGTTACCCAGAATGCTGGAATTGTTAGACCCACTTCTGCCAGTTCACAAGGAATAGTCTATGGAGAACCTTCTCTTGCGCTTTAATCAGTAGTTCAATTATCTACAGGGCACTTAACAATACAGAACTTCTCTACCCTGTATTTCCAGTTCTCTTAGACATAAATGATTGCTGTCACTGTTGATCTGGGCAGAGGAAACATCTGCATGGGTGGGCAACAACCTGGATGGGCTTAGACATATGGTAGGTACCAAAGATTTTCTTTCACAAGGACATTTACAAAAGCAGGATGTGCAGGGGCCGAGGAACTTGGGAGTTGTAACTGAAGGATTCATGGAGCCTCTTGGGCTTTGGTACCCAGTGTTTTCAAAATTGCTCTGCTAACTACATATTGCATAAATGACATATTACATATGTTGGATTTTGTTGGGTAAGGCCTTGAGGAGGATAAAAAGTGTGGGTTCAGTGTAGGAGCTACAGTCAAATAATTTGTATTTTCAAAACAGACGGGGTGATGTGCCAGGCAAATCAAGAGAGCTTTGGAATGAATAATGCCCTCAGTTCACTGTCAGTCCAAGCACAGACCAGTTTCCAGCGGCAGTGATGGGTGTGAGGTATACATTTCAGTTTGATTTCCTTATTTGCCATGCTGGTAAATATTATCTGGGCCCAAAGCTTCATCCATTCTGTATCAGAATAAAGGCAGAATTTTTAAGTGACTCTCTATATTTATAATCCTCATCAGAAATCAAATTCTTAGTTAACTGAAATCTGTCTGTTCTAAGAAAAGCCCAAAAGAAAAAACTATATCGGTGAAATGTGTAGAATGTGTATGCAACTCTACCACTGCAGTAGTTGCTATTAAAGCTCTAAAAATAAGGAAATGTAGCCACTAAAATTTTAAAAGTCATAAGATTTTCCTGCTTTTCTGATGGGCAGAAAGAAAATGAAAACTAATTTGGATCAATACAGTTTTGTGGAGTTTTTTAGTGATTTCCCAGATAACATTCTATTCTATATATAACTTTTCCATATCCTTTCAGTATCTATTAAACATAAAATAAATCTGAAACTAGCAAAGGATCACAAAACTTGAGCTCACATAGAGCTTATTAATTTTCTTGGATTTGGATAGGATTCTCATGGATGTGAGTTTAATTATTATTTTAAGTATATGAAATAAAAATGAAGCAGTACTCATTCACGGCTAGGCTTTGCGAACGAAGATTTGGGGAGGGCTCTACCCACGTCTGCTACAAGAGCATTGGTGGCTAAAAATGCCAATACGAGATAGGCACGTCCGATTGCAAAAGGCGCAGCAGAAAGACTCCTTAGGTGGTATATTCTGCAAGGCACGATTCTTTCTGCGTTGTCTTTTCTCCTCGAGAGTGATCCTGTGTGCTTTCTCAAAAGCATCAGCAGCGTTATAGATGGTGTGCCTCCAGACCTCCCGATTGGAGGCCAGAGTAGACCACTTACGATGATCAATGTGGCCAAGGCTGAGCGGGCCCGGGGCCGGGAACTCAGGCGCGGAAAGGAGAAGCAGCACTAGTAATTGTTAAATTAACTATACCATTAACAAGTAAAAAAAACATTAAGCCAAGTTAAGACTTATCACTGGCAAACCAAACTTGTTGATAGCAAAGTATTCATGATGAAGAAATGTCTCTTTTAGGAATCTGCCATTGTAGATGAGATTAATCATCTAGTCTCTTTTCCTGTGAAAAGTTCAGAAGGATACTGGCTTGTCTTCATCCAGTTTTGCTAATATTGCTGTAGAATGGCTTCCTTAGCATCAAACAAATACGGAATCAGAAATGTCAACAGAATTCTGCTTATCCGTACATTAACATATTTTCTGCTTTTCATTGCCTATTTCTGTTCCAGCTTTTGCAAAACTACCTTTGCTATCTTTAGTTTTCCCTAAGTTGTATGTTAGTTTTCATCCTTAAGTACTCATTCTGGATCAGCCCTTCAATTTTCACTGATTTTCATGAAAATCATCATTGTAGCGTTTCACAGGAGTCTGCCAATATGAAGGATCCTGCCTTATTCTGCAGATGCTTAGATCAGTTACATTGAACTAGGAAAATGGGAATTTCTTTACTCATCTGCCCAGCTTTTTTCTACATGGCAACAAATTAAAATATTCTCCTCAGTGCTGACCCTAGGTGCTCCTCTTTGAAGATAGTTTACCAGCATATAGGAAAAGTTATATGTTACATTATATTTGCAAAAAGTCATCCATTCTTAAGGACTGAAAACTCATGTTCTATAAAATGGACAGTGAGAGTCTTATAATGAAAGAGCAGCCATTTTGCATTGCAGTGACTTTCAAAGTGTATTTAGATTGAAAATTACCTATATTTTTCTCAATTGAAAATATAAATTGTCTCCACTACTGCTGTTGTCTGACTTTAAAATGGCTTTATCAACCAAATAAAGCAGATACTAAGATGCAGCAGGGTTTCAGTTATAGCTTTTAATGCTGACATGTAGGTAAAAAAAAAGCTGTCATGATACACAAACTAGTTTTGAAATTGAAGGAAGATGGCAGGTTACTTTTAGAACATTTTCTTCTCCAGATTCAGCATTTTGATGAATAACTACAAAGAAGTGCCACTGGTGGTAGCAGCAGTAACATGCATGCCAGAAAATGCTTTGACCCGCATAACATTTCATGTATGCAATGCTGAGTGTTGGGAAAAACAAAACAGAACAAAAAAACAAAGTTGTGAATGCTTGAATCAGGTTCTCAGACCTGCGTTTGTACTGGTATATCAAAGTTTGCCTCACTTCTCAAGTCTTTGAGGAAAAGGTAGTTAGAGGTAAAATTGCATCTGTGATGCTTGTTTTATTGTCAGATCCTCTGAGCTGATATTCAGACCCAGATGAATAAAATCACCATTTTAAGATGAGAGATGCAAAATGTGAACTTTATATAAATCAGCTCATGAAAAGAGAAGCACAGACTTCTAACCCTTCACGTACAGCATGGTCATTTAACTGAGATGGAAGGATATCGGGAAGCATGCAGCAACATTCTTATCCTATTAGGACAGACATTCAAACCTCATGTTGGCATTGAAAATTCTCTTGCTCTACTGGTAATAAATGGAAAGTCTAGTGTTTGTAGTAACAGGCACGATACCTTAGCTATGAACTCTCTGGGGGCTCTTTGAAATCTTTTCGATTCTGTGGGCAGTGTGATCAGTAATATAAAAACAGGGCTGGAAAGTAAGCAATGGGAGAAAATAATTCTCTGAAGAGTCCAAGTCCTTCTATCTGTTACACCAAAAAGTTCCCTCATTGGCTTAGTAATGTGGCATGGCTGCAACAGAAATTAGGATTGGTGCCATTGTGCATACTTTGGCCTGTAAATGTATCTGTGAATTGATACTCAGCCAATTACGAAAGAATCTACCAGTCTTAGAAAAATTAATGAGAAATAATGCAATACTTTTTCTGTTTTCCTAAAGGCATTTTCTTAAATGAAAAATATTAATATCTTTTCTCTTTCTCTCTTAGTCTCACTCAGTATTTATTTAAATTTTGAAGATTAGATAAAGTTGGAAAAGTATTTTTTGGAGAATCTGCTTCCTGTTCATACTTTGTTGGTATATATATTCATGTGTATTTTTCACATGTGGGCCTAAAGAAGAATAAGGACTGAAAATCAGAGGAAGAACAAAATTATATCCAGATGTACACCTCTTTTCTCCTTTTGCTTAGGATGAAAGGGGATGGCATGGCACTGTCTTCATGAACAAGTTCAAGTTGTGCCGGGAATGGTTTAGATTGCATGATAGGAAAAATTTCTTCACAGAAAAGGTTGTCAAGCACTGAAACAGGCTGCCTAAGGAAGTTGTGCAGGTATTTAAAAGATGTGTAGATGTGGCACTTAGAGACATGGTTTAGTGGTGGAGTTGGTAGTGCTGGGTTAATGAACTCAACGATCCTAGAGGTCTTTTCCAACCTAAATGACTGTATGATTCTCTTTTATTAATTTTTAAAATCAACCTTATCAGTATTCACATTTATGTAGTAATTTTCAAGGTAAATGAATAAGAACTTTGTGACGCTGGTTCTGTGACACTGTTTCATTTAGAAAGGTCACAGTCTTCCCTCACATATACAGTTGTGGAAATTGCTCAGTTACTTCTTTGCTAGGAGAGTTGTTTTTCAAAGTTCTACTCACTAATTTTCCAAATTGCTGTTAATAGTTAGTTCACTTTTTGTGTAAACTTTTATTATCATTTTTCAGAAGAGAAAGATGAATGGAAGAAAAACTAGATGGGACCATGACATGAAACACAGGACTTTAACTTCCCTTCTTGCTCTTGTTTTGCACTTTAAAAGTCTAAATATAAACTTAGTGTAAAAATAGGTGAAACCATTGCTTTGCTTAAACCAAACCCCAAATCCTGGATTTGTCATTTGGAAAGTTATGAGGAGATGCTAAATAAAGATGATATCAGACATATGAAAGGCATAAGAAACTGGTTGTCTGTGAAGTCTGAGAGTAACTGCACAATATATATTCCACTTAATCCTACCTTAAATCTTGCATTTAATAAGAACATTTTTAAAAGGTCATATTATATTATCTCACATACACATATTCATTTTCTATGTATAAGATATATATCTCATATATAACATATAATATTAAGAGAGAAAAATATTCCAAAGCAGAAAAAAATTGCTTAACTGAAAAATAATTTGACTTTAACATAACTATTTTTTAATTAAAATCAGTGACATATCAACACTATGAACTAGCTAAATACATTCATATTGGGAGAGGCTATTTAAAGAAAGTATGAACATAATTGCCTTTCTTAATGGAGGCATATACAACTGACTGCAAAGAGAAAAGAGAAAGAAAAAAATTACATGAGAATATGTACCTGACTTTTTCCTAATGAATTCTGCTTATCTTCCATTCTCTGTATTTTCCTATTATCTATCAAAAATATGAATAATAGTTTCTCCTACTACTTCTGCATTTTTGTTTCCTCAAACTAATTTTCTCCATCCACAAATAATAATGAAAATTTCAGTTTGTTTTCCTCATCAGATTTCTGTTATTTTATTGCCAAGTTCCTATCAAGAAGCATTTATGACTTTTTTTTTCTTCTGTTCAACTTTCTCCTCCTTTTCACATACAGTTTCTCTAAAGGTGTTGTTTTGTTTAATAATAATTTTTCTCTAATTTTATTTTTTCTCCCTTTTTCTCAAAATCTCATATTTTCTGTAAGATGCACCTTGGTTCATTCAGTTTTTCAATATTTTGCATCTCAACTTCTTTGATCTAATTCCCTCCCCTTTCTTTTCTTATGCTCCTCATTGTCCTTTTACTACCCTTTTCACCTCTTGATTCTTTCAATTTTTAATTTCCAGGATGATTTCTTCTGCAGCTAGACTTTCTCAATTACTGTTACATACTCTATTTTTTTTCTGTTTCCAGTACCCCTCTTGAGAACCATCTCCCCTGACACTGGAGGAAGATACAAGGTCTTTCTTCTGGTCCTTCCTGTTTGCAAGAAAAGTGTTCTCCTGCTTGAGTTTTGAACTGGGAAGAGGATGGCTGCCTAAAGTATGACATCGTTCCTCAGTCCTCCAAGGAAAGTGGTGTGGAGATCCATTAGAGAGCTGGCAGGTATCTTGTCTCCTTTACTTGAATGTTTTACCAATCACCTTAGCAACAAGTATGGGAAGGAGAACACAGATTACTGGCCAACACTGTTTTCTTATTTTCCAGCAAGCCTTAAGTTTATGTGTGCCCAGATAGGAATAAACCACAGCATTTTCTTGTCTACAGTTGAGCTCCACCTGAAGAAGTCTTCACTCATTGCCCTGTGTGCCCTTTGAGATACTAAGGGCTAAGGTGATACTTCCCAGGAAATGTCACACAGACACCGCTTTAAAAGTTTGAAAACTCTTGAGGAAGAGGTGAAAGGATTCCATTCTGTGAATTGACTTATGGAAAAGAATGGATGCTGGAATGATTGCAGTTGTTCTTTTCATAAAGATGATATTAAGGAAATTAATATGCAGTACAGGTTTCTTTACTTCCTATGAAACATTAGGTTTTCATGCAGTTCCATTTCTTATAAGCAAAAATTTTCGGATAACTGCAGGAATGGGGCCAACATATGTGTAGGACAGGCAGGGTCAAGCAGCAATAAAATAAATCAATAGAGACTTAGAGCAGAAGACGAATAACATGTAAAACAGATGTTCAGAACTCAAACAGGAGAGAGGGTTGTACATGAACTCCATTGTAGCCTAGTCTAAGATGGGTTTTCTGAACTATAGGCTGTGTTGATACATATATTTACAGTATATCTAGTATCACAGGAACAAAAATCTGGATACTCTGAACTCCACAACTATACAAAAAATATCAATTAATATTTGAAGTGCTTGGAGAATATATGTATTAAACTTTAAATACTTAAAATGAAGTATGTAATGATTGCAGTGAGTATCCATTTAATTTATTTCTGATAAATAAAAAAAAATCCAAAATAATGAAGAAAGAAAAAAAATTGTTCATTTACTTATAAGATGAATAGCAGAAGAGTGGTATTTTCCTTCTTAAGCACTCACTCTACCTCTCCCTGAAAGAGGAGGATGAGTGAAGAGATTCTGAATAGATGAGTTGTTAAACATTCAGTGTTTGATTTCTCTTTTGAAAGAAGTCTTAGGTGCTATTTCTGATTGGATGACGTGAGTACTTATCACTTGCCACCCTATAGCAGGATAAAGCCTCACAACTACTAGCTTAGCAATTCCATGTTTTATTCAGTGTTCTAAGAGATGAGATGAAACATACCATTTCCTACCATGGAAACTATTTTTCAAAACTCCACTAAATCTAGTAGGCAGAACACATCAATTGTCTTCTGTGTTACCAGCCCTGATAGAATTTTCCTTCCCTAAAATACATAGGGTTTTCTTCGTTGGCATTTTATTGGTTTGGCTGGTTTATTTGTTAGTAGTTGTGAATTTTTCCCAGCCTGGCCTACCTTTTGTGCTTTTGGCATATCGGTGTGGCGCTGAGCGCGTACAGACCGTGCAGATTTAGGTGGCTTTATTGGAGCACAGTACATCTCCAGCCTCCTCAGGTCACAACTCTGGAAGCAGCATTCATCCACTATTCCCTTGTGGTGTAAGCGTCTACTGCTGGATCCATACCCTGTAGGCTTACCTATTCAAAACACAAATGGAAAGTTTTTTCGTTAGAAAGAAAATGCAAAGCTCTCAGAAGCAGTCATATCATCAAGTTGCATTATTTTAACTGAATCACGAATGACCATTGTAGAGCCTGTCTGTGTGTATCTATTCTAAGACCCTGTTCTCAGAAGCACCTTTTAAAGAAATTCCTGGAAACAGCCACCTTTTATCTCTGTCTATGGGTGTTCACTATTTTAGCATGTGAGCAAATTTATGCATTCTTAGAAAATTATTATTAAAATATGTTCCTGAACTGTCTTAGCATTGAAAATGGAGAGGGAGGAATCTGAAATCTGGCATTTACAAAGGAAATTTGCCCTTAAGCTTTAGGATGAAAACTGATTGCTGAGCCAGCTGAGGTAGCTGATGTGTAAAGATCATAGATCATGACTGTGTTGTAGACAAATATTTCCTAGTAAAAAAGGCTGCACCGAGGTACTATGTGAAGCCAGAATGTGTTCCAAAGGGGAAATAAATACTGTATACAACTGCACAGGCTGTAAGATCTGCAAGCTTAAAAGCTAGTGGGAAGCAGGAAATAAGGTAACAAAGTAACGGATGAAATGCAGCAAAAATAGGAAGATGGTTGATGGAATAGATAAAAGCAGAAGATTTTATATTCCATAGATTTGTACAAGACAGGAAATGGGACTGACATAACATGGTTTTCCTGTGTTTTGCACCAGGCATCTGTAGAAACTACTTAATTGGCAAATATTTTCCCTTTTTCACTCAGCTCCAGTAAAGGCTGACATGTTCATTCATACAACTCTCACACACATATTTTTGTCTTTGTTGCCCCAGTGGTTTATGATTTCCTTAGTAACTGCTAATTTCTCTGCTATGCTACACAGACATTAAAGTCCCACTGTTTCCTGGGCTTGTTTGTATGCAACCCAGTTGGATGTGTACTTGCCCTGTTATGACTAACTAGAAATGAAGGAACAGTAAATTCACAAAAAGTAAGTAGCTGCTTACTTTCTATATCTATTTTAAATTCTACTAGAATTTGATTTCACATGCTAAAATTCTGAAAAGATTAAGTGTTTTGTTTTGACATTTTCAGCATTAAATGTTTCCTTTTACAGAATGATCCACATTAGTTAAGAACTGAAAAATATGGAAAAAAAAAAAGGAAAGAAAATTGTACCAAGAGCCAAAAAATGAAGTAACTCAGTCAACTCTACCAATTTCTTTTCATGCCTTTTTTTTTTCTTTTTTCCTTCAGTTTTATCACTGAGACCAAAAATCTGTTATTCACAGAGTTTGGCAGGAGTTCACATTTTAAGAATTACTCAAGCTAGATAAGACATAAAGGCAAAAATTCAGTTTCTCTTTGAGAAATTATTACATCAAATGCTTATACAGCAAAGTCCAGGTTGACGTCCAGGTACTTGTCCTGCAGCTGTCAATTTGAAAAGACGACACTGCATTTTGCAGTACCCTGTGATTAAAACATGTACCCATTGATGAAGAACCCTTGAGGCTTTAGAACATCAGTAAATGAAAAGACCTCTAGTGGTAAATTATGTCACATTTTAGCCAGCAATACAGCTAGCTAAGAAATAACTGTCCCTATGAGCTTTGTAAACTCAGACAACAGATTTTTAAATGTCTTTTTTTTTTTCTTTCCTGGGACTATAAATTAAACGAAAAGAAAAACATGCTTACTTAGTATATTACAATCCACTGAGGGCCTCTATATTGTACATTGCCTGCTAAATCATTTGTTTCATAAGACTAAAGAGAAGAGCAAGCCAGGAACAAATTACAGTAATATTTTGGTTTGTTTGTGTGCGTGTTGTGTATCACTGAAAAATATTATAAATATTTAGATGCAGCATTTTGTTTTTTTTTCTGAAACTATTTTCCCTCACTAACTTATTATATAAATTACAAGCTTTTTGCTAAAGATTATTTCTGAATTCTGTTAATCCAGTGGTTTTAGCCCAATACTTTTAAAATTTAGCAGTCAAGATAATGTGTGGAGTGTCATTAGTTTGCAGTATACCCAGAGCTGTGCCTCATTTTGTCTTGCTCCCATTTAAAGAAAGGTAGGGCAAATTCCGTTCCTGGATATGCAGGTATAACTCTTCCTAATAGATCCAGCTGAACTATAGGTACAAAGAACTGATTAGTAAAGCTTCCCTTTCTTTTCTTAATCTGCCAATTTTTCATAAGCAGATACACCCTAAAAGCTTCTGTTCAAGTTATTTTACCCTTCAGTGTCTGAATTTAACCATTTATAAATGTGTAGGACCTTTATAATTTATAGAGTTGATAAAGTACCTTTAATAACCTATGAAGCACTGCCTGTCTTATTTAGTAATCAGTGGCAACATTTCTCCTCACTATCATATACATAAATAGTTAATGCAAATCCTAAATCATGGAATCTTTCTAGTCCAAATCTCAGTGCACTTCAAAATCATTTTTAGTGTAGCCAGACCAAAAACATCTATGAGTTACTTTTCTTTCTGACAGAATAATAATTTTATGAAGGATTATATAATGTCTAATAGCCCTTTAAAAAGCCTGTATGGTACATGTAACAACATTGGAATGGAATCACTACCACATCACTGATGTGGTCATCTGTGAACTTATAGGCTTAAATATTCATGTATCACATAGCATACTAAATACTCATCCTTCATAAAAAGATAGCATTAGTCCTGTGAAGTTAGATTTTTTCTCTTTAAAAAAATGTTTCCCAAGGTTTTTGAAAGACCTAAGCAATTAAATATGCTTAAAATCTGTGTGGTATAGAAAGTGATATACAACAGAGAGAACAAATTAATAGAAAAAATATTCTTTTTCAGTAATCATGATTCTCAATCATGATTGAGAAGTATCTGATATGTAAAGTAATTTTAAACCAATAGATTTTAAATTACTGCTGTCCTCTTAAGTGCTGCTGCTTACGAAGATGCTATTACAGCAAAAGACATAAAGAATTACAAGGAGATACTACCACTTCTACAGATGTTATCATTATTTGGCCCATCTGCTTCTGGAAGGACTGCAGGATCAGATGGTTCCAGTTCATCAAATTACCAAACTATGCATTTAGATCTAGGCAAATGTTCAAGCTCCTATATAGTGTGTTGGACTAATTCACGTGTTAAATAGTGAGCACATGCCTGTGTGCTCTTCTACATAGGGACTGATTTAACTGAGCACTTAAGATAATTTCTAGACCAACTGGTATTGGTAAATAAATGGCTGGTGGTTCTTCATTTTTAATATGATTTTTGTTCCCTTTTTTTTTTTTTTAATAATATTACCTGCAGTATGGACTGGACTTTCTGTGTCACTATACTGTGAACCCATATAGTTCTTTCTCATCTCTCTGACATAATTTGAGTGCTGCCTTCCAACCGCTATCAAAAAGTTCCTTGTATTTACTCAACCTTCAAAGTGCTGCCTGTGGACACACAACAGTCTTAGACATTCCTTTTTGCTGACGTACACTGATTTCCTTGGAGGTTTCTTTCCTTTTTTGTCAGTTGCCAACTCAAGAGAATTTCGTATCATGTAGGTCAAAGTTTACTTAATAGAATATTTGGCACTTGTTTAATCTACACTATCAAATATGTGAATGTTTCTTTCAATGTGCGACAAGCAGATACAAAGTCTAATCACACTATTCTGAAGTCCCCTGAGAGCAGGCCAAGGTACAGAGTTGCAGTAGTTAAACAGCTGACTTCTGTACTAACAGCATTTCCCTTTAAATAATGCAAAGTCAGTGCAGTAATTCAACAGGACTTGTTTATACTCGATTTCTCTGTTTCTCCCCATCCCTCCAAAATACCTTACTCCTATAGGTGGACTATAGAACTATCATATATCAAGTTATCTAGACATTCTATGTAGAATCATAACCAACTATTGTAGTATTAACATTAGAAATTACATAAGAAATAGCCCAGGCTAAACACAAAGCTTAATCTACTCTTTAGGGGACTCTAGGAAGAGCTGGGGATATGTGTCCAGGAACTTTTATGTGACTCTTCGTACTTGTTGTGCATAGTGTCTTTTGTAGCCAAGCATAGAACTTGAGAATGCTGTGTAGACTGTAATTCAGAAATACATCATAAATCTGAAAAACAGTGACCTAACCTGCTATCAGAGTCAATCATCAGCTGTAACTGCTTTTAAAGTATTCTAAGAGGCCATTAGTTTTGCTCTAGTCTTGTAGCAAGAAACTCACAATGTTTCCATCAAAACATCAGGGTAATATAACTCGTACAATTTTGAAACATTAATAGCAGATTACAGTATTGGGATGTATGTAAGCATGCTATAAGGAAGTGTGTTGTACAAACAGAATTTTTCTGTGACCTGAACAACAAGATTGAGTGTTTGTGGTGCTATATTACAATGCAGAAGCTGAACAAACTCATCCTGTGTCTGCTAGATCCAGACTGGGAGCTGTTGGTTAGAGTGTTTTTTGAGTTGCATGTGCTGTCTGCCTTATAGTGGCACAGAAGACTAGGGATGCTGAATTTGAGATTCATCTTGCTCATCTTTGCTACCTGAAAATTAGGGATCTCGTTTAAGATAGTGAACTCAACAAGGAGGTGTGCCTACAGGGTGACTGATTTCTGTATGGAATGCTTTACTTAAAATTAAACGTATCCTTGTCCTCTGAAAGAGGCAGTCTTCTTTCATGGACTACAGATAAAGCTACTTGATCGAGTCTTAGCGTGCATACGCAACTCCTTCTAGCTCTTCGAAGAAAACGAATTCCACTGAAAATGATTTGTTCTAAACCACAAAATATATGCCCCTGGTGGAGTACAAAGCCTTTGTCTTTCATTTCCAATTTAACAATTAAATATAACAACAAATTGTTCTAAAAAGGACACCAGGCAGTGTACTATTTAATTATGTATCTCCATACCTCTTTAACTGTATTCTGTATGTTAGGCTACTGTTTCTGTGTATTTTTGCATTATAAATTCATGCATA